ATCATATTTTTATGACGTTGAGAAAAAGAAGTTGTGTGTGTGTGTGTGTGTGTGTGTGTGTGTGTGTGTGTGTGTGTGTGTGTATATATATAAATATATGTGTGTGTGTGTATATCACGAGTAAATAATCTCAAAGAGATGGAATTATTTACTTCTGATAGTTAGTTAGATGTAAATGTAGATATGAATATAAATGTGTATCATAGTAAGAGCATGACTAATATCAAGAGCATATAAAGAAGTCGTAAAAATATAATAAGAATAATAAGAATATATAAGAAGACCTCTTTATATGCTCTTGCTAATATATAGTATTGATATACACTCGGTAATAATAAATATCTATTACGTACACTTCTTAGTAGGCTTATCATACCCCATGCATCTTACATAGCGGGGTTCTCGATGTCTGCTTTAGGCTTGCTGTTAGCTGGTTAACTAGGTCCGCTGCACAGGTTCATATAACCCACGCATGCACTCGATCATACATATACATGAGCACATATATATATATATATATAAATAAACCAGTGTGATTTCAAAGCATTACGCGACGAAAATGATTCATCCCCATCTTTAAGATAATCTGAGATGGCTTCCTTTCTTTTCTCTTACGTATTGACCAAGACAGCGTTGCAGCGATTGTATAAATGGCAGATGTAATAAATCAATGCAGCCCTGGCTGTTTGGGTACGAAATACGACGTTAAAACGTCCGGCTGTGTAAAGAAACCAGTGCGTTCTTCCTAACGCCCTGCCATCGGTGTAGGCGGACTAAGAAGACGCGGGCGCGCGAGAGAGAGGCAGAGACAAACAGAGAGAGAGCGAGAAAGCGAGCGAGTGAGAGAGAGAGGGAGATCGAGTGAGAGAGAGAGAGAGGACGAGAGAGTGAGTGAGTGAGAGAGAGTGTGAGAGAGAGAGAGAGAGGGGGGAGAAAGGGAGGGAGAGAGATCATTGCTGAATTGACTCCCTCCAGCGTTCATTAACTACGCATGGCGACGACCGTGCATTGTTGGCTCGCATCGCTATACACAATGAAGCAATCGCCGACACGACCAACTCATAAAACTCGGGAAGAAACGCATAAAGCGCGACCGTTACGTTGCCTCTATGCGCTCGAAATGACAAATATCTCTAACGCTTTCTCCTGCTTAACGCGCACTGGCGATTATTCGCTACGGGATAATACAATTCGCACATACTTCGACGCTATTGTACCGGCTTCGTTATTAACCCGCTAGAACGTATC